CCAGCTCAGAGCTCCTCCAATCCCCGGGGTCTCGGCCGGTCTCGGCCCGCAGACTCCGCCCGCCCGCCCCACCGCACGCGCAGGTCGGCTCCGCAAGGACCGGGGAGTGCCATCTCTCCCACGTTTCCCGTCCTGGGAGGCTGCGGCCCATCAGTTCACCCGACCACGACCGAGAAGGTCCCGACTCGGGTTCCGCGGGCCACGGCAGGGGCCTGTCGGGACCCGCGGGCCGCGCCCAGGGCGAGCCGCCCTCACCGCGGGCGGCACGGACCGTGCCCCAGCCAGGCCCCGCGTCGTCGGGCGCCCGCACCTTGCGGCGGCCCCTCTCAGCTCCCGATGGGAGCGGAGCAGTTTTGTGCAAGGTCACGCGGAGGGGCTGGGGGCCGGCGCCCCCGCGGCGCGCCCAGCCCCGCAGCGCTCCCAGTCCCCGACCTGCGGCAGGGAGGAGCAGCGCGCGCACGTCCCGCCCGCCTCGCGCAGACTGGGGAGGCACGGCCGGCGGCTCGCGGCCGCCTTACCTTGCTGGCGGCCGCGCAGGTGGCGGCGGCGGCGTCCGGCTCCGGCTCCGCGCTGCTCGCCGCCCGCCGAGTCCCCGCGCCCAGCGCCGCCGCCGCCGCCGCCGCCTCCCCCCAAGCCCGGCGGGCGGGGCCAGGGGCGGGGCGGGGGCCCGGCGCTAGCCACGCCCCCCCGCCCGCCAGCCCCGCGGCTCCGCACCGGCCGCCGCCCCTCCCCAGCCCACCAGGGTCGCACCCCTGGGTCCCGGGGCCGGACTCGGGGCGCGCACACGCACACACACACACGCACGGCGCGCGCGCGCCGCAGGGACCAGGGCGGGCTGCCTGGCCAGCGAACCCGGGGCCAGACACTCCCAGGCGGCTTCGCGTCCGTTGCCTCGCTGCGTGGCCTGGGGCCCGGGACTCGACCTCCCGGGGCCTCGGTTTCCCCCCTGGGGAGATGGACGCAGGAGCCAGGTCTGCCCCGGAGGGCTGTTGAGAGCGGTTGCCGAGGTTGCCCAGCGCGCCTGGCCGCCGAGAGCAGGGCGGGCCCCGGAGTGTCGCAGCCGACGCCTTCGTGCCCTCGGCGGCCGGGAGGGGGCGCTGCTGCCCAGACCCGCCGGCCCTGGGAGGCCTTTGGTATTGCCATCAGCCGCCCTGCTCTGAACACGGCCTGTGTTACAGACCGTTTCCGCCACACGACCCTGTACCTGTGTTACACCTGAGGCCCAGAGAGGTTAGGTACCTGGCTTAGGGCCACACAGCAAGTGCTTCAACCCCAGGCGGCTGGCTCCCAAGCCCAGGCTCATAGCCACTGCGCCGTTCTACCTGTTGTGAGAAGAGCTCTTTTGTTCAGTGGAGTCTGGCGTGGGCCACTCTAGGCGCTCAGTATAACGCTGAGTGCATAACAGAGCACATGATATACTGCATTTTTTTTTTTTTTTGACAGGCAGAGTGGACAGTGAGAGAGAGAGACAGAGAGAAAGGTCTTCCTTTGTCGTTGGTTCACCCTCCAATGGCTGCCGCGGCCGGCGCACTGCGGCCGGCGCACCGCGCTGATCCGATGGCAGGAGCCAGGAGCCAGGTGCTTTTCCTGGTCTCCCATGGGGTGCAGGGCCCAAGCACTTGGGCCATCCTCCACTGCACTCCCTGGCCACAGCAGAGGGCTGGCCTGGAAGAGGGGCAACCGGGACAGAATCCGGCGCCCTGACCGGGACTAGAACCCGGTGTGCCGGCGCCGCTAGGCAGAGGATTAGCCTAGTGAGCCGCGGCGCCGGCCGATATACTGCATATTTAACTTAATCCTTGCAACCCTTCTGTTCAGCCCATCGCCACACCCATTTCATAGATAGGAAAATTGAGGCTGAGAGGCCAAGCTCTTGATGATCTCACAAAGACGAGCCAGAGCCAAAGCCTGTCACTTGGTGCTCGTGGGTGACTGGGCCACGCCTGCCTACCTCCCAGTGGCCAGGATGGGCCTCAGCCTTTGGGAGCTGGACCAAATGCTCGCTTCAGGTGTCCGCATACAGGAGTGTTTTTCTTTTTAAAGATTTATTTATTTGAAAGGCACGGGGAGTGGGGGAATCTTCCAACTGCCGATCTACTCCCCCAGTGGCCACAATAGCCGGGCTGAAGCAGGTGCCAGGACCTTCCTCCAGGTCTCCCACGTGGGTGGCAGGGGCCCAAGCACTTGAGCCATCTGCTGCTGCCTTCCCAGGAGGAGTAGGGGCCTGGACTGGCCGTGGAGCAGGCAGGACTCAAGCCAGAGCTCCTAGGGGATGGTGGTGTGGCTGGGGCGCAACGCGGCTCCCACGCTGGAGTTTCAAAGGTGCCTGTGGGCACAGTCCGTGAACGCCTCGTGGTCTGGCTCCGTGTTGTTCTGACTCGAGTTACACCTGAGAAGTAGGTGCTACACCCTTCCCCAGGCTGAGGCATCTCAGCGTCTCTTCACTTAGGCCTTAGGTCTGAATCCCTGGGGCACCTTCCCTCCCCCACACCCCGAGTCCTGGCCCGGCCATGCAAGGCTACCACCTGGACATTGCACGCACAGGAACACTGACCCACCTGGGACCCCCTACCTAGGAAACCACACAGGTCTGCTACAAAATGCAGCCCATTTTCCTTCGGACCCGAGTGGACCAGGATGGGCCAGGCACCTTCCCCGCCCTGCCGGTGCCCCGACACGGCCAGCTCCAAGCGATCTGCCACACATGTCCAGGCCACACATGTCCAGGTGCTCCCCACCCTCTGCCCCTGTGCCCGTGAGCGGCAGAGCTGAGAAACAGCGCAGTGCCTGGGCGGGAGGGTCTGTGTTGGCAGTGGCCTCCAGCCCACCCCCCACCCCCCGCCCCTCACACATCGCTGTAGTGGTGGCGAGCGTGCCCGAGTTAAGCAGCTTCCCTCCCCTGTAGAATGGGGTCTGGGGGAGGGGTACCTGGAGCATGAAGTCCCACCTCCCGGGGGTGGGCAGTGGGGGCTGGGTGAGATCAGATCCCAGCCCTGGACGGCAGCAGCCCCTGGGGAAGGGGCGACAGCTGTGGTGCGAGCCAGGAACCCGACACCACGGGTGGGCCCCAGACGCCCTCCAGAAGCGCAGGGGGAGGGTGGGCGGGCTCCCTGGGAGCATGGGTGGCGGCGGTGGCACTGGTGGCAGCAGCAGCAGACATCCCCTGGTGTCACGTGGGTGTCGGCCTCCCTTACTTGCCTGAGGAAGGGGATGGCTGCGACTCCAGCTGGGAGCTGCTTCCTCCCTTTCCTGCATCCGGTCCCAGGAGGCCAGGCCTGCCCTCTCCCCTGGTGACAGATTCCACAGCCTCTGGGCTTGAGCAGGACCTAAGCACTCAGTGGCTGTGTGTACTCCTTGGGTCGGGTCAGCGGCCCGGTGAGCCACCGCCAGGCCCACGCCGTGTCCCCTGACCTTCAGCTTTGCAGGCATGGGACGCTGAGGCCCTACAGCAGGCTCTGAGCACGGGGGCCCGACATCACTATCTGTAAGAGGCTACCCAGGCTGGCGCCGCGGCTCACTAGGCTAATCTTCTGCCTTGCGGCACCGACACACGGGGTTCTAGTCCCGGTCGGGGCACCAGATTCTGTCCCGGTTGCCCCTCTTCCAGGCCAGCTCTCTGTTGTGGCCAGGGAGTGCAGTGGAGGATGGCCCAAGTGCTTGGGCCCTGCACCCCATGGGAGACCAGGAAAAGTACCTGGCTCCTGCCATCGGATCAGCGCGGTGCGCCGGCCGCAGCGCGCCGGCCGCGGCGGCCATTGGAGGGTGAACCAACGGCACTGTCCACTCTGCCTGTCAAAAAAAAACCCTTAATTGTCAAAAAAAGAGGCTACCCAGGTGACTCACAGGTGCAGCCAGGTAGGAACCAGGGGTTCCATGGGGCTGGGTCAAAGGTGAGACACTGCCCTGTCCCCAGGAGGGGATGGCCAGAGCCCAGGGTCTGGTGGGAGGGGAGAAGGAGGGGGGGAGGGGAGGAGGTAGGGGAGGTGTCACTGCTGGCGCAGCCCCCTGCCCGCTGCCTGATCCCATTTGGGTTGCTCTTCGCGATGAGCCTCAAGGCTGTGTTCAGTTCAGCCTTGGCCTTGCAGGCCCCAGGGGATGTTTCCATCGCACAAAGGCCACTGGGTACCATGGCTGCACATTACCGCATGCCAGGCACCTGGCATGGTGCCCCTCGTACCCAGTGCCGGGGCCCGTATCCAGCCTGCTGGGAGCAGCTGGGACCCACCCATCGCCCTCTCACCACCATCAAAGGGTGAGAGGGCCTGAGTGGGGGGAGGTGAAGGCCTGCGGGCGTTCATTGGAAGCACCGTGTGGCCGTGGAGGAGAGGACCTGTGAGCATACCTCAGCAGGGCTGTGTGGGCCGCGGTGTGGGGAGCTGACCTTGTATGCTGGCCCAGAGGGCCTGGCACTGTCTGCAGTGGTGGGCGTGGCTCCTGTGCAGCCTGGGGCAGGAGCTGGGAGCAGAAGCCTGACCTAATCCCACGTGGCTTCCCATGGAACAAACGGCCCGCCCCCAGGGAGCAAGTGCAAGCTCTCCTGGCACAGTCGCCCCCATCACCTGCGCAGCCCTGGCCCCGGCCTTGGAAGCCCCCGTCCGCTGAGGAAGGACCTGGAAGAGCCCAGGTGCCGTGAGGAGCCAGCCCCGGCTGCAGCCGTGTCATTCACTGCCTCGCCCAGCCTGCCAAGCAGCCCGTCTGCAGGGGAGAGCCGGGGGGGGGGGCAGCATGGGGCTAGAGTGGGGGTCCGAGTGGCCCATCCTCTACCCAGCCCCCACACCATTCCTCCTGGGTCTCCCCAGGGCCCCCAAAAGGGGCTGTGAACACAAAGGACATGGGCGCACGGCTCTGGCCATGGCTTACCCTGTAGACAGCCACCAGGAAGGGAGACACCCCAAACACTCAGGGTGCTCGGTGGACCGGGCTGGCCTTGCAGAGACTGGAACCAGAGATGCCCGGGCTGGAAAGCCAAGTTCCAAAGTTCCAAAGCCAGTGAACTCCTGCCAACTCGGATGCTGTTTTATAGGGACGTAATGGCGCGTCTGCAGGCTGGCGTGCTCTGTGCGGGGACAATGTCGGGGGGCATCCCCGGGGAGCGCCCGTGTGCAGGTGACCCAGACAAGGTCCTGATGAGGAGCCCTAGGGCCAGGCTGGCTCCCAGCACGCTGGGGCTCCCAGGTCCCCTGGGCTGGGCGTGGGGAAGACTCTGGGCGGGAGGGCGGCGGCGTCAGGCCTCCCCGTCCGCGTCGTCGTCGATGGCACAGGCCTCGGGCGCGGCGCGGGCGCAGGATGCCTGCCTCTCCAGGAACTCCACCTTCAGCCGCTCCAGCTCCCGCAGCTCGGCCTCCAGGCGCTCGCGGTGCGCCGCGCGCTGCTGCTGCAGCTGCCTCATGGGAAAGGGGTTCATGTCGTTGAAGGCGATGCTCGTCAGCTTCCTGGGAGGAGGGCGCAGTCAGCCAGGAGCCCAGTGTCCACGGGCCTTCCCACAACCCCCCAGCCCCGGAGCCCAGGGAGCGTAACTTCCGGGGAGAAAACAACGAAAAAGAAGATGATTCCTACCCCATGTGACAGGGACCAAGGCAAGAGGAAGCCCAGGGCTATGGGAGTTTGGAAGGAGGATGGACCCCTCCTAACCCATTAGGGAGAGGTTGGTCAGGGAAGGCTTCCTGGAGGAGGTGACACCTGAGCTGCATGCTAACGAACACAAGTTGAACAGGCAGAGAAGGTGGGTGGTGGTGGGAGTGGGGGAGGAGTGGTTCTGAGTAGAAGAAATCGCAAGGGCAGAGCCCCAGCTAGGGGGCTGTCCTGGGGACCCAAATAGTTCTATCTCCTGGGGTCACGGGCTGTGGGTGGTCATGGAGGGGCAGGTGGGCAAGGGGTGAAACTGCACGGAGGCCCTGAACGCCATGCTCGGGGCAGGCAGGTCACTAGGGCAGCGCGAGTCCCTGGTGACTTCTGCGCTGTGGCGGGAGGGTCAGCGTCACTACCCAGCACCCCCCGCCCTAGGCCAAGCCCACCCAGCTCCTGCCCTGGGCGCGGGTGCGGAGGGCGGTGTCTCACCGGCCGTCGCAGATGGTCTTGGTGAAGAGGCGCAGGTACTGGTAGATCTCAAGGCCGTCCTGCAGCCTCAGGATCTGCTTCTCGTTGTACTTGAAAATGGCCAGGGCGTAGCGGAACACCACCTGGCAGGGCGGGGCCGGGCGGCTAAGCAGCGGGGACACAGCCCCCGGCGGGCTGGAGACCCCGAGAGAGAACACAGCCTGAAATCTGGGGATTTGGACCGCGTCCTGGCTCCACTCCGACTTGCCCCATGACACTGGACACGGTACTGCCCCTGGTAGGCCTCATGGGGCCCACCTGTGTCTTCACGCGGGGCTTAGGAGGGGTCCCACAAAACGACACATGGAGGTGCTTTGTAAACAGTCATGAGGGCTCGGGGGGTGGCCTAAGGTCTCTCAGTAGGTCCAGGGCGGGACCAGACCCCAGCTGTGGACTTCCAATCCGGGGCTTGGTGCAGACAGAAGGGGAAGGAAGGGCCCAGTGTCTGGGGAGGGCGGGGGCAATGGTCGGGAAGGGACCCCCACCCCCCAGTGGGACGCATCTGCAGGGGCAGCCTCAGCGCCCACCTCGCTCACATGCAGGGCACTGTACAGTGCACAACGTTGTGCTCCACGGCCCGGCCAGGCGGCACCGGCTTCGCACTCCTCGGGGCGAGGGGCCCTGGACCGCAGCCCCAGCAGCACCCACCTTGGTGCCCTCGTACAGGAAGGCGTCCCAGACACGCAGCAGGATGTCGCTGATGAGGCTGTCTGCGAACACCACGAGGAACCAGTTGAAGGTGATGAGGGACAGGTCCACCTGCTGCTGCCCCAGGTGGGCCATCAGCCTGGGCAGCTTCTCTGAGAGCAGGTCCTGCAGCACCCGCTGGTCCACCTGGAAGCAGGCAAGAGGGCCTGACGCCTGCAGCCCCTTCCCATCCAGCCAGCCCACGCTCAGCCACAGGGCTGCCGAGTGGGGCCCGGAGGCCCTGTGCACAGGCTGGCGGTGAGACAGGCACGGCGACACTGCCTCCACTGCTCCCGTGTTCCCGACACAGGCCTGGGGTGGGTGGCGCTGCAGCACCTCAGGGCACGCAGGTGCGCAGGGGCTGAGCGGAGCCTCCCGGCAGCTCAGAGACACCGGTCTTGTACACAAAGGGCAAACAGAGGAGCTTGGGCTCTGGGTCTGAATTGGCTCCCATGGCTGCTCCTCTGCACCCATATTGGGCCTGACATGCAGGGTGCACGTGGGATGCTGGGCTGAGGTCAATCCTGGGAGAGGAGAAGGCTGCCTGCCGCCTCTCCGTGTGGCCACGGCCAGTCCCCATCCTTATTCCACTGGCTCCGTGATGTGGCCCTTTGTGCCCCTCCTACAGCTGTGCTGACCCCGCCCGAGGCCTGCTGGCCGTGCAGCCTTCCTCCCCAGGAACACCCTCGTCTGGGCTTCGGCGTGGCCCCGTGGCAAACACCCAGAGCCCTGGGGCGGCCACCCGCTGGAAGGCACACTGAGCAGACGGAGTGAGTTAAGGATGGGCTGACACGAGCTCCAAGACTGACTTGGCAGTGTGCGGGGTCCACACGGGATGGCGCCGGCCTCCCTGGTGGGTCACTACTGAAGGCGTGCGACCAACACCTGGAGCTCCCTTAGCCTGCTTCCTCCACATTCTGAACGTGGACAATTTTTCATCATAGCAAATGAAAACAGAAGCGCCCAGCCCTGGGGCCAGAGTCGTGGCACAGAGGTTAAGCTGCTGCCTGTGCCACCAGCATCCCACGGGAGCACCGGCTGGGAGGTGGGGCTGCCCCTCCCTCACTAGTCGCTTGCTGTGAGCCTTGACCTCTCTCCTCAGCGCCACAGCTCAGCCTCCTCCGTCTCCTGCCCTCCCCACCCAGCGGGGACCCCCTGTGTCAGGTGAAGGACAGGTGGAGACAAGGAGTGGCAGTGGGTGTGAGAGTGGTGCTCTCTGGGAACCAAAGGTGGCGCCACTGTGAGACCGGGCAGCGTGGGGTGCCGGCGAGCAGGCGGGGACAAGCAGGTGGATGTGTTACTGTGTTCACGCCTCCTAGTGAGCTCACGGGGCAGCTCATTCTCACTCAAAGCAGGCAAGCCTGGTGCCCCGAGAGGTGAGGGCGTGCCTAGACCATTAGGGCCACCGGGAGGTAATGACACGGGCACAGGTGCTCCTCTGTGGGAAACGCACTGTGTCTGTCCTTGCTTTCCAGTCTCCCATCCTCCCTGGTAAAGAGCAAGTGACTCTAGGTTTCCCACTCCTCCCCTGCCCAGGGCGCCGGGGCCGCGTCACCGCCACTGCTGGAATAACAAGTCTCCCAGGGGATGCCCCGGAGGGACAAATGGTGGCCTGAGATTCTCACCGAGATTCACTGGCTCGGGAGAACAACGCAGGGGTGCTGTCCCGTGCACCTGCGAGCCCCCTCCCCGCCCTGCTCACCTGGGACGCCGTCAGCGTCTTGCTGTAGTAATCAGCCGGCATGATGGTCTCCACAATGGCCACCAGGCACCAGAAGGCGCTCTCCTCCTCATCCAGGACGAGCAGAGCGATGGCCGCCAGCCTGGGAAGGGGCCGGGATGATCGGAGCCCTGCCAGGAAGCCCAGGGCAGAGGCCCCGCCCCACCCACAGCCCAGGCCTGCGCTCCTGCACCTGGGCTGGGGCCAACAACCCCCTGGAGAGGATGACCCAGCGATATGGGGGTCATTTCCCAGCAGGGCCCGTCTGGGGGTCTGTCCTGGCCTTGCTGCTTCCTGGGCGAGTCCCTCGGCCCGCCTGACAGAAGCACGGGACAGGTGAACAGACTGCACGGCACACTGCACTCCTCCTGTTGACACTCATGGGCTTTGGGTTTGCAGGAACACCAGGCGCTCTGGGCCTGGGTTCAGGAACTGCAGAGTGGGGTTAGCAAGATGGACACACAGAGCTGGGAGGGTCTGCAGGCCAAGGCAGACCCTTAGCACCTGACAGGATGCCGGGCACAGCCCAGGGGCTTTCTCTCCTCTGTCCTCCCCACCCCAGTCAGTGTGGGCTATAAACCGAGAAAAAACCCTGGGGAAGGACTCTCCTCTGCTTCTCCCATCCTCCCTGGAAGGTCTCAGCCAGGACTTTCAGGGATTACTGGTCTCTCCCATGCTTGGCGAATGCAGGCTCTTCTGTTCAAGGGTATCTCAGAGGCTTACAGTGCATGCTGCCTTAGTAAAGCCCGAGAGTACCCAGACCGTTCCCTTTGCACACGACGCACAGAGGCCTGCTGGGACGCGTGTTCTCGGAGCACCCCCTGGGGAGGCACGACTGCCGAGGGGCCACAGCTGCAGATTCTCCATGGCCGTCACAGCATTCTGCCCTGGGGTCTCACTGGACTGGAGTCAGGACTTCTACTTTCTGAGTCATGACTCGTAAGAACAGGGTCAATTCCCAAAAGAAAAAGGAAATCCCTTCTCCTTCCCCAGAAGATTGGAAGGAGATGCTCCCCTCCTGGAAGGAGAGAGGACGCTGGCAGGTCTCCCAGAAATAGGTGGCTCTGCCCTTAGCCCTTCAGAGGCCACCAAGGTCAAGGGGAGCAAATGTGCAGCACACTGGCTACCATTCTCTTTGCCTATGCCTAGGACAGACATAACTAACTGATGGCAATATTTTGTCTGTGTCCAGGGCAGACATTCTAATTGATCATGACCCTCTTTCCCCCTGACTGGAGGCTGCATTAGAAACTCTCTCCATAGTGCTCCTGGTCATCTCTGGTCTAGACCAACTGCTTTTTGCACAGATGGGAAACCAAGACCCAGAAAGAGGACTTGCTCAAAATCATGGTCACTTGGTGGCAGTGTAGAAACCGGACTCGGAGCGTCCACAGTCCAGCCTGGTGCTCTTTGCACCTTACTCTGCCCCAGACCTCCTAAGCCTCAGCATGTCCTCAGTCTAAGACTGGGTAAGCTCCTGCACACACGGAAAGGCCATTCATCTTGGAATGCAGGCATTTGGGTTAACAGTTAAGATGGCCATGTCCCATATCAAAATGTCTGTTTTTTTTTTTTTTTTTTTTTTTTTTTTTTTTTTTTTTTTTTTGAAAGGCAGGGAGAGGGAGAGGGAGAAAAACTTTGGTTCACTCTTCAAATGCCTCCAATATCCAGGGCTGGACCAGGCTGAAGCCAGGAGCTGGGAATTCCATCCGGGTCTCTGACATGGATGGCAGGGACTGACATATTTGAGCCACTATCTGCTACTTCCAGGATGCACATTAGCAGGAAGCTGGATTGGCAGTGGAGTAGCCGGGACACGGGACCGGCTCTGATGTGGGAACAGGAGTCTCAAATGGCTACTTAAGCTGCTGTGGCAAACGCCTGCCCCACAGTGCCTGGTTTAAGACACGGCTCCTGACTCCAGCTTCCACTAACACACCCAGGGAGGTGCACCTGAACGATGACGGCCCAAGTACTTGGATCCCTGTCGCTCACATGGGAGACCTGAATTGAGTTCCTGGCTCCTGGCTTTAGCCTGGTCCAGTCCTGGCTGCTGCAAGCATTTCGGGACTGAACTACCAGAGGGAGTGCCCGTGTGCTCTCTCTTTTTCATCTCTCAAATAAATAAATACAATTTTTTAAAAACATCGTTTGTTTTAAGCTGGTGCCCACTAGGGCCTACCAACTCCCCAGGGCTCCTACTGGAGCCTCCGTAAGGCACCGGGGGCCCGACCAGGCCTGCGACGGAGGGAGTGTGTGGACGGGGGAAGGACAAACTCTTGCTGAGCAGCTCACTTAGCTCCACAGGGAAAGGACTTTAGACAGTTTGCTCTAAGTCAGCGTTAGAGGAGCTGGGGCTGCCGTGTAACAGGTAAAAGCCACTGCACTGCCTGCGGTGCTGCATCCCATGGAAGCATCAGCTCGAGTCCCGGCTGCTCCACTTCCCATCCAGCTCCCTGCTAATGCGCCTGGGAAAGCAGCAGAGGATGGCCCAAGTCCTTGGGCCCCTGCACCGGCGTGCGAGATCCAGAAAAAGCTCCTGGTTCCTAGCTTCGGCCTGGGCCAGCCTCGGCCATTGCTGCCATCTGGGGGAGTGAACCAGCAGATGGAATTCTCTGTCTCTCCATGCTTTTCAAATAAATAAATAAACCTATAAAAAACATTAACATTACAGCATCACCATGACATGTGTCACTGTCTAAACAAGGTTGGATTTGTTGCTGTAGAAGCATGAGATTCCACATAAGCAGTTCTACTGGCCACCACTAGATGGCAACCCAGACAAGCATAGGCACCTGCAGGCTTGGGCTTGAGGCCCTTTTGGAAGAATGCAGGGCACTTTGCCCTTTGGAACAGGCTGGCTCTCTCTACTACAGGTGACTTGTATTTAAAGCAATAAAACAGGTGTTTGCATAAATGCCAATGATCTGTGCTTGAGGGGAAAACATAAGCCACAACACTCAAAGACCTTTAGCAAACACGCCCTGGCCCTGGGAGCCTTCCTCCCCGCTGGGTCTGTTCCTTTATGGCCTGCTGCAGCCTGCAGCCGCCTCTGCATGCAGGGAGCGCGAGTCTGTCCTGCCCGGAGCCTCAGCTCCAGGCGCCTCCTGCTCTAGCTCTGTGCCCCGCCCCTGCAGCACAGAGTGAGCTCCCCAGCTCCACAGCCGGTACACCGCTAGTCCCCAAAGAGATCACAGCAGATCAGCAAACAAGGTTGTGGGTGGCTTCAGGATACCCCCTGCCACAGCTCCCATCCTGAGTGTAGGAAGGACCGGCTGGGGGGAGGGTGAGGGGCTGGAGTCCAAGGTTAGTGGCCAGCCCAGCCTTCGTGTATGGTGGGCCCCTGGCCGGGCGCCTCAGCCTCCTGGACTCTGTCTTAAATGTCTTAAATGACATCAGCTGTGTCCAGCACCTGGCGTGCAGGAGGCCCTCAGCAGGTTCTCCTTCCTGCTCGAGCTCTGCACGGAGCGTGCAAGCTGCTGCTCCGAGCCATCGGCAGCGGCCAGCTCCGTGCGCAGCCATTCACAAGTCGTGTCCCTCGTGGGTCTGGGTGTGTTCAGGTGAGCAGCGCGCAGGCAGCTCCCTGGCTCTGAAGGAGCAGGGTGCATCCACAGGGCAGCACCCGGGCAGCACCATGCGCTCACCACGGAAGCCCGGGAGCGCTGCTGGGGGTCAACGGGGAATGCCCCTCAGGGTACAAACAGATGCTCCAGTTTACCCCGTTTTAGGTTGGAAATAGAGTATCGACCATATCTGCCCTTGGGAATCGGATGTGAGCAAGGACACTCTGAAATGTAATAAATGTCACACCACCTCTTCTGGAAAAAAAAAAAAACAAAAAACAAAAAACAAAAAACAAACCAGAATGGGGGCAGGCATAGCAGGTAAAGCTGCCGCCCGTGATGCCAGCACCTCCTGTGGGTGCCGGTTCAAGTCCTGGCTGCTCCACTTCCAATCCAGCTTTCTGGTAATGACCTCGGAAAAGCAGCAGAAGATGGTCCAAGAGGTTGGGCCCCTGCCACCCACATAAGAGACGAGGAAGAAGCTCCTGGCTCCTGGCTTTGGCCTGGCCCAGCCCCAGCCATTGCAGCTTTCTGGGGAGTGAACCAGCAGATGGAAGAGCTCTCTCTAACGCCTTCAAATAAATAAACAAATCTTAAAACAAAAACAAAAACAAAACCAAAACACCAGCAGGATGGCTCGTGTACGTCAGGCTCGAGGATGGGCGTGTTTAAATTGAGTCAAAACTTCCCTCGAGAAACACCTGAGAGCTCGCAGCTTCTGCTGAAATCGTGGCGCAGGCGGTTACATCGCCACATGGGACGTCCGTGTCCCACACTGGAGGGCTGACTCGGATCCTGGCTCTGCTGATGCACAGTGCACAGGCGTGCTCCTGCTCACGCATCCTGGGAGGCAGCGGATGAGGGCGGAAGCACCTGGGCCCCTGCCACACATGGGGGGGCACAGGTGGGGCTCCTGGCTTCGACTTGGCCCTGCCCAGGCTGCTGTGGCCATGTGGGGAGTGAACCAGTGAGTGGGAGATTCCTCTCTCTCACTCGGTCTTTTAAGTAGGTTAAGATAAATTTAAAAATAAACATTAGAAAAAAGGGAGGAACTCACTGGGGGCATTCATGAGAGCCCCCACGGCCTCGCAGAGGGCAGCCCCATGTACTGGGGGTCCCCACCCTCCACCCACTGATTGGACCACAAGTGGCATTAACCCAGAATTAATTCAGACTGCGTCTGCTGGGAATTTAGGAGTGGGAAGCACACGAGGGTGGGTGGGGTGGGACACTCGCAAGAGGCCCCAGACCCAGGCCTTGGTCTCCCCATCCTGACAGCCTCGATGGACCCTAACTGCACCAAATGAGAGGGCAGAGGGAAGGAAGCAGATGTGTGGAGGAGGGCGCGGCCGGACCCCTGGGGCTGCAGGGCACCCGGGGAGGGGGGGGCACTAGTTCTCAGCTCCATGCTCCTCTCCTGGTTTCTGGGAGCTGCCCCTGGAACCTGCACCACTCCCTTTCCTGGGCTCCCAAGTGGCTTCAGGGTGCAACTCCCTGGGCACAGTCCTGCCTTGGGCTGGCCGGGCCAGCGCAGCCCGCACGCTGCAGTGGGTCAGCCTCACGGCTTCCCATGCTCAAAGCAGAGGTACAGGGTGAAGGGTCGGAGCGCTGGGTTCCCAGTCACCTTTCTCTTTTAAAAAGAGTCTGTCTATTTGGAAGACACAGTGTCCGAGAGATATGGAGAGACAGAAAAAGACAGAGATCTTTTTTTGTTTTTTAAATGAGCTGGGGGCAGAGAGAACGAGTGAGCTGGGTGGGGCTGCACATGTGCCCTGCGACAGACCCTGCTACTTTTTTTTTTTCTTTTTTGACAGAGTTATAGACAGTGAGAGAGAGAGAGAGAGAAAGGACTTACATCCGGTGGTTCACTCCCCAAATGGCCGCAACGGCCGGAGCTATGCCAATCCGAAGCCAGGAACCAGGTGTCTCTTCCTAGTCTCCCATGTGGGTGCAGGGGCCCAAGAACTTGGGCCATTTTCCACTGCTCTCCCAGGCCATAGCAGAGAGCTGGATTGGAAGTGGAGCAGCCGGGACTAGAACCGGTGCCCATATGGGATGCCAGTGCCGCAGGCGGGTGGAGGATTAACCACGGCGCTGGCGCCGACAAAGATCTTCTATTCGCTGGGTCATTCCCCAAATGGTTGCAATGGCCAGGGCTGGGTCTCCATCTGGGTCCCCCATGTGGGCGACAGGGGCCCAAGCACTTGCATCATCCTCTGCTGCCTTCCCTAGCACATTAGCAAGGAGCTGGATTGGGAGCAGAGCGGCCAGACTTGAACTGGCGCTCTGATATGGGATGCTGGCATCGGGCTTAACCCCTGAGCCACAAAGCCGGCCCCTCCTCTCCACGCTGACTGTCCCCACCTGGCCAACGGGGATGAAGCTTCCTGGGCTCACGACAGAGGGGAGCCATGCGCGGTCAGAGCCGTGCCCTCACAGGGCCGTGGGGCTCACCTGTTCAGCCCCTGGCAGTAGCCGATGGCGGGGTTCTGCCAGGCGAAGGCCAGCAGCACCCGGCGGAGCTTGTCGGGGAAGCTTGAGGTGGGACAGGTGAAGTGCTTGTTGTTGGGGAAGGTCCGGTTCAGGTCCAGCTCGATCTGGCGGGCCGCAGGGTGATCACAGGCCTGGCCCCGGCTCAGCAGCTCCTGGTAGCGGCCGGGAGCGTGCAGGTGCCGGACGCGGAGGTGGACCAGCCACTTCCAGACGCGCGGCCGGTGCTCGCGGGGCACTCCCGCCCGCAGCAGCTGCTTGAGCTCAGCCGAGGGGGCGAGCTCGCCCAGGGCAGCCCAGCGCTCCTGCAGCGGCCGCTCCACTGCCTCCAGGGCCAGCAGGTGGTGGGAGCGCACCTCCAGCACCTGGATCTTGGCCAGCAGCTTCAGGTCTTCCACCTCGTAGTCGGGCACCGTCAGGAAGCCATACTCGTCATACTCACTGCCGGCAGAAGCGCGTGTTAGCAAGGCCCTGCGGAGGCCTTCCCTGGGGAGGGGGCAGTGGGGAGTGGAATGGGTTCTGGGCAAGTCACTGCAGTGGTCCCAACCTCATTTTGCTCATCTGTATAATGGGTAGGGGGAACCCCGGGAGCTGCCTGGTACCTGGTGAAACCTAAGAGATAAGCACCTGCCTTAGGCCAGGGGAGGCCTATACAGCTAACACAGAAGACCGCTGGTCAAGGCCAGCAGGCCCGGGGATGGATGGAGGACAGACAGAGCCACGGCAGCAGAGTCGGGCGAGCCAGGCACACAGCCAGGATGGCCTTTGCCACATTTACTTGCCCCCTATGTGCCCTGCCTGTGCTACCACATTTGATCTCGGGGTCCTGCAAAGCGGGGGTCTTGGCTCCCATCGGCTGGAGGCTCAGAGTGGGGCTCGGAGAGGTGAAGGGCCTTGTGCCAGGCCTCACAGGGACAAGCCTGGGGCTCCTGCTCCTGGGCCCCCCAGCATCCTGCTGCTCTCTATTCCAGCTGCCCTCGGCCAGTGCGCTCAGCGAGGCTGGCTGGGAGGGAGAACAGGCCCTGGAAGACTGCCTCGAGGGGGAACCTTGGCTCATTTTGTCTAAGGGTCAGAGGAAGTGGCAGGTGAGTCACGTGGCCCAGCCTGCCCTGCGCGCGGGGCTCACCTGACGGGGCTCAGCTCCACGCCGTCGGCAGGGGCCTCCCCGGCCTCCCACTGCAGCGCCTCCTGGATGAGCTGCCGCAGCAGCTCCGAGCACTCGCCGGCCTCATCGCCCAGGGCCTCCTGCAGCCTCCGCAGCCCGGCCAGGTACTTGCTCTCCACCTGGCAGTTCCTGGCTTGGAGATAGGCGCACTGCAAGAGGGCAGGGCAGGTCACCGCGGGCAGGCGTGAGCCACCCCAGAGGCCCGGGCAGAATGGGAAGGGGATGAGCTCCGCACGCGAGCAGGCCTGGGCCCCGGGCTGGAGCTGGGCTTGGCAGGCGGAGGGGTGGACGGCGCCCGGCCTGCAGACCCCTCTGGGGGTCCCGCAGCGAGGTCCTTAACCTCCCTGGGCTCAGCTTCTGCAGCGGCAGCATGGGGACGTGCTGAAGCTACTGGCGGGCCTCAGGACTGTGCGCGTCAGGCCTCCGGGGTGCTTGGAGCAGAGGCAGCACCACTGGGCAGTGCCCGGGAGGGACACCACCCTTGTGCCCTCTGCCCCCGCCTTGAACTTCTGCGTTCCTACTGGTACCAAGTGGGCGGCGCTGGGGCGTCAGGGGCGCTCTCCAGGCCTTGCTTGCTGCCTTTGTGACTTGGGGTCATGACCTCTGGGCCCCCCTGGCTCCCCTCGCCCTGGGGTTGCAGGAAGCGGGGCGTCTCCATGACCACGGAGCACACTGAGGTTGCCATAAGCCTGCTCTCTCTCGGCCCCACCTCACTCCCAGCTCCACCCTGAATCTTGTGCCCGAGCCCCTGCTCAGAGACTTCCGCCTGATTCCCAGCACTCTCCCTGCTTCCAGGCCCACTTCCTCAAGTCCACGCCCCCTTAAGCAGAACGAACACAGGGGCTGGCACTGTGGCACAGCGGTAAAGTCACCCCCTTTGGCACTGGCATCCCATATGGGTGCTGGTTCGAGTCCCGGCTGCTCCACTTCCAATCCAGCTCTCTGCTATGGCCTAGGAAAGCAGTAGGAGATGGTCCAAGTCCTTGGGCCCCTGCACCTGTGTGGGAGACCTGGAAGAAGCTCCTGGCTCCTGGCTTTTGCCTGTGCTACTCCCAGACATTGGCAGTCATTTGGGGAGTGAACCAGTGGTCAGAAGATCTGCTTCCCTGTGTCTCTCCTTCTCTGTCTCTCTGCCTTTCAAATAAATGAATAAATAAGTCTTTTTAAAAAATGACTATTCTCTTTCCCTGGAAGGCCTCTCTACTGTTCACCTGGATCATGCTAACTCACCTTTAGGCCTCTCCTCAGATGACACCTCCTCCAGGAAGCCTCCCCTGACTTTCCTTCCTTTCCCTCTTCGGGCTCCCAAGAAATCCCACTGCATCTCAGTCACTACTGCATGCTCAGCTCCCTCACTGCCTTCCTTGGGGACAGGGGTCCAGCCTCACAGGTGTGGACGTCCCTACTTGTTAGCTGTGAAAGCCATTGAATAGGCGGCCTGGCCAGCTGCCCACGGAGCCGGAGAAGAGCCCCATGTGGGTCCCACTCCTGAGGACTTGGGAGAGTGCGCCTGGGTGGCCAGGAGGCTGGGGGCGGAGGCGGCCAGCGCAGAGCTCACCTTGGTCAGGAGGGCCTTCTGCTTCTCTGCCACGCTTCTCCAGATCTTCGTGACCTGGTGGATCTCGGAGTTGAGGAACCGGTTCTGGGTCCGGAAAGCTTCCATGTCATCCTGGGGAAGAGAGTCGCTCGTGAACAGCGCCACGCCCCTGGGAGCCACGCCCCCGGAGAGGCGGCCACGGCGTCCTTCCCACAGACAGCCCCGCTCACGGCCACAGAACAAGGCGGCCCTCCTTCCTACCCTGGCTCCCGGCACGGCACGGCCTGGTGAGGCCTGGCTCGGTCCCTGAGCCCGTGCCCCTCTGCTCCCTGGCCGCAGTAACGCGGGCAGCAGCGAGCAGACACACACAGCCGGGCTGCAGAGCCGGCACACTTCCCCAGGGGGCTGGCAGCCGCGGGGAGGGAACGGTCTTCCCCAGGGCACCGTGCCTGCTTTCCTAGGTGGCTACCTGCGTTTCCCGGGGCCCTGGTGACGCACTGCTCACTGTTCCGCTGGGTGGCTTCGCCATAACTTAATTCTAATTCTCTTCCTGCCTTTTTAATGGCGCCCTGGCTGTTCCCAAGCAGGGTGAGAGTGGTGTGCCGAGCGCTTCGGGGGCCTGTGAGTGTAGGGAGTGCCAGGGCTGCTGGCGGGGCCTACGGGGAGCTGGCGAGTGCTGGAAGGCTCCGGCAAGGACGGGAGCTGTGGCCGTGGCTCCCGATCCTGCCGCCACCGAGACGGACATCACAGAGGCCGCTCAGATAGGGCGCGCGGGCTCACGGCCTTGCCCAGCAACGCCAGGGCATTGACAAGTGGGAACCCAAGCCCGCTCTCCCCCACACAGGAAAACACATGGGCTGCAGGCGGGCGAGAGAACACTGCTGGAGGGCCCTGGAGAGGCCCGGCTGCCCTGGGAAGGAAGCCAAGCGGAGCCTGCGGCCCTTGCGAGTCCCATGTGCACCATCATGGTGGTCCTGGCTCTCCCCACGTGGGGTCCCTCGCAGCCCTCTGGCTCAGCCGCTGCTGCCCTCGGCCTGGAGGGCTGACACTGGATGGCCTCTCTCACCTGCCCTGCGGGGCCTGAACTCCAGCGGAGCTCGCTGTGGGCTGTGCTTACCTGGCCCACCGCCCCCTGCCCTCGTGCACACTCCAGGCTCTGTGCCTCGCAGGATGCCAGCTGCTGTGTGCCAAGCAAGTTGCCGCCTGCTTCGCTGCCACATCCCTGTGCCCTGTCCAGGTGTGGCAGAGGGCGTGAGACTGGGGGGAATCCTCGCATTTGGGGTGCAAGGCCCCGCGTCCTGTGAGCATCAGGGTTGTCTGGGGCCATGCCCCACGTCCACGCGGGTCTGTGCGTCTGGAAAGCTCACAAGCACGCAGCACCACCTGCACCCCACACACGTGCGAGCTCAGAGCTTGGAGGAGTAAGGGACCTACCCAAGGCCACCCAGCCAGTAAGAGCGTGATGGGGGCTGGCGCCGTGGCTCAACAGGCTAATCCTCCACCTAGTGGCGCCGGCACACCAGGTTCTAGTCCCGATCGGGGCGACGGATTCTGTCCCGGTTGCCCCTCTTCCAGGCCAGCTCTCTGCTGTGGCCCGGGAGTGCAGTGGAGGATGGCCCAAGTGCTTGGGCCCTGCACCCCATGGGAGACCAGGAGGAAGCACCTGGCTCCCGGCTTCGGATCAGCGTGATTTGCTGGCCGCAGTGGCCATTGGAGGGTAAACGAATGGCAAAAGGAAGACCTTTCTCTTTCTCACTGTCCACTCTGCCTGTCAAAAAAAAAAAAAAAAAAAAAGAGCGTGATGGGGTTCAAGTCCACTTGATTCCCTGTCCTTCCTGCCAAGGCTCTCTGAGCCCCTCCCTCTGGCAATCACTTGCAGGACAAACACCAGTCCTCTCTTAAGGCTGACCTTTGAAGTCTCCTGACCATACACAGGCGGTGTGACTTCTGTCCACAGGCAGGATAACAACGGCACATTGAAGACCTTGGCACTGCCCGCGTGCCAGCACCGTCTGGCGGTCAGGGGCACAGACACAGGGGTGGGTCATGAGCCCGGAAGTACATGAGTGAAGGAGCTTCGGAAAGTTCACGGAAAAATGCGATTACAAGAGGGACTTAACTTTGGTGCAAACACATCCCTATCAGGGGGTCTTCAAAATAGTTCATGGAAAACATATATTATATATATAAAAAAATCACATGTGACTTAAAGGGGTATTTTAACACCAAAATAAACTTGCCCTTTAATTCCATTTTTCCACAAGCTTTTTGAAGTATCCTCAGACCTCATGTACACATCTGTACACACACACCCAGCAGAGCAGGGATGAAGAAAATTTAGGGTGACCGGCCGGCGCCGTGGCTCAATAGGCTAATCCTCCACCTTGCGGCGCCAGCACACCAGGTTCTAGTCCCGGTCAGGGCGCCGGATTCTGTCCTGGTTGCCCCTCTTCCAGGCCAGCTCTCTGCTATGGCCTGGGAGTGCAGTGGAGGATGGCCCAAGTCCTTGGGCCCTGCACCCGCATGAGAGACTAGGAGAAGCACCTGGCTCCTGGCTTCAGATCAGCGTGATTTGCCGGCCACAGCGGCCATTGGAGGGTGAACCAACGGCAAAAGGAAGACCTTTCTCTCTGTCTCTCTCTCACTGTCCACTCTGCCTGTCAAAAAAAAAAAAAAAAAAAAAAGAAAGAAAGAAAATAAAATAAAATTTAGGGTCACACCAGTCTCTGTGGCTACTGCTCTCAGGTCAGGCTCAGAAAACCTGTTCCTTACCCCAAGGCCAGACCCGAGCGCACCTGTATTTCCTTCCGGTTCCATTTGTAATGTAAAATCTTAACTCTACTTGGACTAGAGTTTCAATATACAGTTTGAGTCCAAGGTCTAATTTTCTTTGGTGTTAATGCTAGCTAGCTGTCTCAATACCTTTTATTAAGTAATAACCACCTTTCCCACAATGGATCTGAAATGTCATTCACATACTAAATCCTTTTCAAAAACCCCCGGCCTGGCCACTGAGGCCTGGACAAGTGACTTAATGTCGCTGGGTTTCGTCCCTCCCTCCGTGCAGCGGGGGTGATAACTCACTGGCACAGGGGCGTGTGGGAGTACGGGAGCAGCTCACATGCCCGGAGGCTGCGCTGGCATCTCCTGCTGGCTTCTCATGATGGCCACGACTACCCACCTGCTCCCCCTCAGTCTCCAAGCACTCCCAAGGCTGCTCCCCAACACCTTCAAGGCCTTGGACAAATGCAACAAGTCCCCAGGCAAGGAAGGCAAGGCTGCACCGTCACCACGTGAGCTCCTACCACGTGCCAGGACGGGTTCCCGCACAGCCACTGTTTTGTTGTAATCTCTCCCACAATGCTGTGGGGCAAGGGATTAAAGTATAAGCTGAGTATCCCTTACTTGAAATGCTTGGGAAATATCTGTTGTTGTTTTTTTTTAAGTATTTGCATATAAATGAGGGATATCTTGGGGATGGGACTCACCTCTGAACACAAAATTCATGTAAGTTGCCTATGCACCTAATACGCACAGCAGAAGGTAATTCTGTTTAGTGCACCTGTTTTGACTGTGACCTGTCACCGAGGTCAGGTGTGGGTTTCCCACCGGTGGCATCATTGTCGGGGTTCCTAAGATTTTTGGATCTGGGGGTAATCTGGAGTTCAGATTTTCGTTTCTGGGATGCTCAGCTACAATCCCCACATGGCCGATAAGGAAATGGGCACAGAGAAGGTAAGCAGCCCTCGGCCGGGCAGCCGGCTGGGAGAGCCCGGACCCAGCCCCATCGCCTGGGCTCAGCCAGCACTGAGAGCAACCAGGGCCGAGTCCAGTGCTCCCGACCACTCCAGCACACGGCTCGCTCCTGCCTGTGTCACCATCCCTCATCCCGGCCACACGGCCCTCTCAGGCTTCAGACTGTTGTCACGTAAGGAACCCTGGCCCAGCCCAGACAGGGAGGCTGGTGTGAGGGCCCTGGCATCTGGGCAGCACCTTCCCATTCAGCTCGGTGCCCTACCTTGAGTGTCCTTCTTGGCTCAGAACTGTAGGGAGGAAAAAGAGAGACCTCAGAGAAGAGAAAGGCACACGACAGTCACCAGCAGAGCGAAGCAGGAGACATGAGTGGCAAAGGGGACGGGGAAAGGGGAGCCTGCCTGCCTGCCTGCCTGCCTGCAGGGACAGGGGATTCTCCCTGGGAAATGGCCGTGGACTTGGCCCTCAGGCTCGGGCCCAGAGGCTGTGAGCTGGGTGAGGGGAGAACCCCTCCTCCTTGCAGCCCTGCTGCTCCTGCCGCATAACCCTGCCCCGGCCCCTCCCCTTCTCCGGAGCTCTGCTGTCCCTGGTACAGTCGGACTCCTGCCAGCTGGGACATTCAAGAGGTCGCTGCTCCAGTTCTCATAATGGCAATCTCCTTAGTAAGGGGACATTGTCCTAAAGCTCGCGGTCTCGACCCCAGGGCAAGCAGGACGTGTGACCACTCCCTGCCCCCTTCTCGAAGCTAAGAAAGAAGGGACACCTAGCACGGGCACTCCCTAGAAGGAATGGCAGTGGGTTCCGGTAGCTCACGCACCCTCGGCGCTGACAGGGGACGTTGCTGCACGTGGGAATTTAAGGACTCACGCATGCCGGCTGCGAGGTGAGCACAGGGTTACAGTCACCCCCCATGTAGGCTAAAGCTCCCAGATGCTCGGGTGGGTCTGGAGCAGAGGATCCCAGCAGGACGGGGTGGGGGGGAGGGAGGCTGAGCCAGGGCTGCAGCACGTGGTAGGAGAGCCATCTGTGGGCAGCTGTCTGCACAGCTGTGCCAGCGCCTTCTCTAACAATCCAGTTGCACCTGCCTTGGAAAAGTCGGCATCTCAGACCACAGAGGGGAAGTGATCCAGTGACCCTGTTATGTGGGTTTTCACTTTTGCTCAAATAGAGAGAAGGGGATCTGAGTTTCGTGTTCTCTTCCTCTCTCCCCCTAACAACCCCATCCCGTGTGAGGCAGGAACAATGGGCTGCACCACCCAGACATGAACTAACTTGCGAGTAAGTGGCACAGCCAAGATTCGAACCCAGGAATCTATGACTTCAGAGTCGGGTGGGGGCCTCTGTGCCCCTGGTGCTCTCAGAAGCCTCCTCATTTCTTTTCTTTCTCTCCTCTTCTCCCCAGGGCAGCTCCTTGACACTGCAATGTGGGAGTTCCCGCGGCCTGGTGCACACAGGTGCACGTGTGGCTGTGAGCAGCAGGGTCCAGGGCAGGATGGCTCCTGGTCACCTGGCTGCCTGCAGGGACCGTGGGGGCTGGGAGGGCCGGTCCCCAGCCTCGGGCCTCTTGATGCTTAGGCCTCAACCCGCACAGAGGGGTCTGTGGCCACCAGCAGGCATCGCAGCTCAAGTACAGTTACTGCCCTCGGTGCCATGACTGGTGCCTGTGGGACGGGTTAGCCCCGGGAGAGAGACAGGGATGGAGAAGCGGAAGGAGGCCGAGGCAGGGATGGCAGGAGCTAGAAGAGGCAGACAAGCAGGGAGGCAGTCAGTGGATGTGGGCTCCAGTGCGATTCCTATGCCCCTGCCTCTTCTGCACGTGACCTGGGCACGCACCTCCCCTGCTCAGCCTCTGTACAGTAGGGCACAGATGTGGCTGTCTCTCAGGGTGGGCACGAGGGTTCATCAATCTGATACAGGTAAAGCACTGAGGATGGTGCCTGGCACCCAGTCAGCGGTCCATGACGTCCACCCACAGGAGCGGCAAGCGTTGCTGTTATCGTGAGTGAGCTGTGGCTGGCCACAGTCCCCTGCACAGTGTGCAGGACCGCTGTGGGAGGGCTCCCAGGGCACCAGTCTGGCACTGAAGGAGGCTGAGCAGGGCACGGCGCTGTGGTGCAGCGAGTTAAGCCACCGCCTGCAATGCTGGCACCTTATATAAGCCCCGGTTCCAGTTCCGGCTGCTCCACTCCTGACCCGGCTCCCTGCTAATGCGCCTGAGAAAGCAGTGGAGGATGGCCCAAGCGGTTGGGCCCTGCCATCTTTTAGGTGATCATCCTGGGGCACTGTCACTTTGCAGCTGCTCAGGACCCTCTGGTGAAGAAAGGGAGGCAACGTGGAGCAGTTTCCCCACCAGCACCTGTTTGCACTCCAGGATGAAGGGTTAGCCCATTCCGCAGGGAAAGGCCTTGGGGTCAAGGGAGAGGACCAGCAGGTCCTGGAGGGGCGGGGTCCCTACCTTCATGTGCTCCAGCCTCTCCTGCTGGCTCAGGAAGTCCCTGTTGGCAGCCTCGGGGGGCTGGTCCGGCAGGTATGTGAAGTCCTGGGTGACCTTCTCAGAGAGCTTGTAGATGACCTGCTGCTTGGCCTGGTTCTTGTCCATGAGCAGCTGCACGTGCAGCTGCAGCTCCTGCACCTGCTGCTCCCGCAACTGAGCCGTGTGCACCAGGCTCTCCCGCTCCTGCTCCAGGGCCTCCACCCGCCTGCCCAGCTCGGCGATCTGCCGCACTTTGTGCCGCACCAGCTCCAGGCGGTCCTTGTCCTCGGTGGCCGCCAAGTACGCGCTGGACGCCCTCTTCTCCTGCTGGGCAGCCTCCAGCGCCTTGTGCAGGATCCTCACCAGCTCCTGGCCAGGGGAAGAGAAGCAGCCGGTGACCTGCGGAAGGCCTGTGTGGTGCCAGAGTGGGGCACGAGGAGCCGCCGCTCCCAACAGCCCTGCTGAGAGCCTAGCAGCAGCCCCGGGGCACCTGTCACACCTATCAAACCGGCCACGTGGTTCCCCAGCTGAAAACACCACTTCCCACCAAGTCCCAGCCGGGTGTGGCCACATGATGACTCAGCACTGCTGGGAGATGAGAAGTGACGTGGGCAGCGTCTGGGTCATGCCTTCCAATGCTGTACACCTGCTCCCCTGGTGCAGCTCCCTTTTCGTCTGGCTGGGACATGGCAAGAACGAGAGCAGGCACCTGCGGTCCACAGGCACAAGCACCACGCTGAGGGTGACAGGGCCACCGCTCAGCCACCGCTGGATTCTCCCAAGTTGTTTTAGGCCCCAGCATTCTGGGGCTTCTTTGTTGCAGCTGCTGAGCCCATACCCTGACTTAAGCACGTCCATTTCTGGGATGAACGCACTGAGGCCCAGGAGACTAGAGCGGCGTTCATTCCCAGGTCACCCAGATTCCAGCCTGAGCTTGGTCGGCGATAAACTCAGGGTTGGCAGGGCACCTCTCTTCCCCTCTCTCTTCACCCCTGTGGCAGATTAGCTAACTAATCTTTTTTTTTTTTTTTTGGACAGGCAAAGTGGACAGTGAGAGAGAGAGAGACAGAGAGAAAGGTCTTCCTTTGCCGTTGGTTCAGCCTCCAATGGCCGCCACAGCTGGCGCACTGCAGCTGGTGCACCGCGCTGATCCGAAGGCAGGAGCCAGGTGCTTCTCCTGGTCTCTCATGGGGTGCAGGGCCCAAGGACTGGACCATCCTCCACTGCACTCCTGGGCCACAGCAGAGAGCTGGCCTGGAAGAGGGGCAACCGGGAAAGAATCCGGCGCCCTGACCGGGGCTAGAACCTGGTGTGCCGGCGCCGCAGGCGGAGGATTAGCCTAGTGAGCCGTGGCGCCAGCCAGCTAACTAATCTTGACACTGCCTCCTGTAGGGTCAGCTGGGGCCTCGGGATCCGCCTCCATATAGCACCAGGGAGTCACTACCAATCCAGCCGAGGCGGCACAGAGAGGATGCACACGGGCAGGCGCTGTGCACAGCCACGCACAGGCAGCCTCCTATTTGTTCATGCCTGAACGATGCCTGCAGGTCTGGCGCAGGGATCCGTGGAAAGTTCAGAAACGACAGACCTCAGTTCAGTCCTCGGAAGCAGACTGGCTCCTCATGCCTTCTGGCCTTTAACCTGCCTGGGGCGCGGGCCTGTCCTGTCTCAGGGCAGCGAGGAGAGCATCAGGGGCCAGGAGGCCCAGCTCCCAGGTCGCACTGCCACGCTCTGTGCCAGCCTCACTTGGAAGAATGTTTTTAGGGGCTGGTGATGTGGTGCGGGGGACTAAGCCGCCGCCTGTGACACCAGCGTCCCATATCAGAGCACTGGTTCCAGCACTGGCTGCTCTGCTTCTGACCCAGCTCCCTGCTAACGCACCGGGGAAAGCAGTGAAGATGGCCCAAATCTGTGGGCCTCTGCCACTCACATAGGAGACCCGGGAAGTTCCTGGTCCTGGCTTCAGCTTGGTCCAGTTCTGGTCATGCGCCCATTTGGGGAGTGAACCAGTACATGGAAGATTGCTGTCTCCTCTTCCTACCCCCGCACCCCCCACTGCTTTTTTTTTTTTTTTTTTTTTTTTGCTTTTCAAATAAATAAATAAATCTTTTTTTTAAAAAAAGCATGTGCTAGGCCGGCGCCGCGGCTCACTAGGCTAATCCTCCGCCTAGCAGCGCCAGCACACCAGGTTCTAGTCCTGGTCGGGGCACCAGATTCTGTCCCGGTTGCCCCTCTTCCAGGCCAGCTCTCTGCTGTGGCCAGGGAAGGCAGTGGAGGATGGCCCAAGTGCTTGGGCCATGCACCCCATGGGAGACCAGGAAAAGTACCTGGCTCCTGGCTTCGGATCAGTGTGGTGTGCCGGCTGCAGCGCGCCGGCCGCGGCGGCCATTGGAGGGTGAACCAACGGCAAAGGAAGACCTTTCTCTCTGTCTCTCTCTCTCACTGTCCACTTTGCCTGTCAAATAAATAAATAAATAAATAAATAAATAAATAAAAAGCATGTGCTGTGTTTTCCTTGAGACACAACAGCTGCACTCAAACCCAAGTCTTTAAATAAGCAGACTGGCTGAATAGGGCTATTTGCTAGGCACAAGCCCGTTCGGGAGAACTGCCAGAAACCTTGGCTTTCTTCCTGAAGCTGACATTAGGGTCACATAACCTGCGGCTCCTGACGCCTGTAAGTGACCGCCCCTGCTCTGCTTGCCTCTTTCCCACCCACGACACCCATCCGCGTATAGACCTTCACCGAGCACCCACTCGGTGCCAAGCCCTGGAGCCCAGTGCCAAGTGCTGGAGCGGGCAGTGGGGCCGGGCAAGGCCCCCAGCAGAGGGGGTGGGAGGGCAGTGAGTCAGGCAGCACAAGGATTTACTGCAAGAGGAGGGGCCCGGGGGACTGCAGAAAGGCAGTGCCAGGAAGGAGGAGGAGGGCGGGGGGGGGGGGTCAAGCAGCAGGCCAGGGAGGAAGGGAGAAGCCTTCCCTGTGGCCGAGCCAACAGCCCTGGTGCAGGCCTGCAGGTGAGTTCCTGGGTGTGGTAGGAAGGTGGAAGGTGCCTGCGGATCAAGCCTGAACGTCTGGAATGTTCAGAAGGAAGCAGGGCTCCCCAGGCTCTGCCAGGAGAGACCAACATTCCTGCGGCTGCAGGGTGACCTGGCAGCCTAGCCCACATTCTGTCCAGCTGAGATCTGGAGTTTACCTTGGGCCGCTGCCCAGTGGAACAGCCACAGATGACACGGTGCAGGCTTGCCCAGCCTCGGAGTCAACACCACAGCCCGGCTGTGCTCTCCTGCCCACATCGGGCTGTCGGGACCAAAACCAACACCAGTCCCTAGAATCCCTGTACCAGAGGGGGGCTTGGGGGACAGGGACGTGGGGACAGGGAGGCAGCTTCGACAGGAGGTGCAACACAGGGACTGGGAAGGGAGCCCAGACTCAGGACACCAGGATCGTGCGGTGGAATGTTTTCAATTTCTTGAAAGAATGTAAATAACCTAGGTTCATAACAGGTGGAAACCTGGGAGTCTGCTGAGGGATGAACAGATGACCGAGACGCACACGATGGAGTATCATTTAGCCTTAAAACAGAGGGCCTTGTAGACACTTGCTAGCACCTGGATGAGCCTGGGGACAGTACCGGAAGGGAAAGCGTGACTGTGGGAGGCGCCGAGAGCAGCTGAGTTGAGACAGAATGGAAGGGGTCAGGTGCCACCAGAGCTGGGGGAGGGGAGGAGGGGCTGACTCTATCTAATGGGCACAGAGTTCCAGCTTTGCAAGATGAAAACGTTCTGGAGATTTGTTGCACTACAGTGAGAATATAGGAATCCTCGCATTAATATACTGAGCTGTACACTTAAGGTGCTAAAATGGTACATTTTATGTCTTTTTTTTAAAGATTTATTTATGTACTTTATTTATTTATTTATTTATGTACTTGAGAGGCATAGTTCCAGAGAGAGAGAGAGAGAGAGAGAGAGAGAGAGAGAGAGAAAGTCTTCCACCCGCTGCTTCACTCCCCAAATGGCCACAATGGCTGGAGCTGGTCTTATCCAAAGCCAGGAGCCAGGAGCTTTTTCTGGGACTCCCACAGAGGTGCAGGGGCCCAAGCACTTGGTCCATCTTCTACTGCTTTCCCAGGCCATAGCAGGGAGCTGGATGGGAAGTGGAGCAGCTGGACGAGACTCAAACTGGCCCCCATATGGGATGTTTAACCTACTGTACCACAGTGCCGACCCCAAATTTTATGTCTTACTATGACTAAAAATAAAAGGGCATGCCAAAAAAAACCCTAGTGATAAATTAATATATTTAAAAATTATGGCAAAAATTCATGACAAATTTTTTTTAAATAACTATCATATTTTTCTGATCATAAAAAAAATCACGGGGGCCGGTGCTGTGGCACAGTGGGCTCAGCCTCCACCCGTGGTGCCAGCATCCTATATGCGGGCGGTTCATATCCTGGCTGCTCCTTTTCCTACCCAGCTCTCTGCTATGGCCTGGGAAAGCAATAGAAAATGGCCCAAGTGCTTGGGCCCCTGCACCCATTTGGGAGGCCTGAAAGAAGCTCCTGGCTCCTGGCTTTGGATCAGCTCAGCTCTGGCTGTTACGGCCATTTGGGGATGGAAGACCGACCTCTCTCTGTTTCTCCCTATCTCTGTCAGTAACTCTACCTCTCAAATAAAAATAAAAAAATCATGCTTTCTCCAAGCGTTTTGACTACAAGAAGAAATATGTGACTATTCCTTAGAAAGAACTGACATTAACCTTCAATATATTCTTAGAGACTTTTAAAGTGCATATAAAGGGGCTGGCACTGTGGCCTAGTGGATAAAGTCACCGCCTGTGACACTGGCATCCCATATGGTTTCGCATCCTGACTGTTCCACTTCTGATCCAGCTCCCTGCTAATGTGCTTGGGAAAGTAGTGGAGGATGGCCCAAGTGCTTGGGCCCCTGCACCTATGTGGGAGACCAGGGGGAAGCTCCTGGCTCCTGGTTTCAGCCTGGCCCAGTCCTGGCTCTCCCTCTGTCTCTGCCTCTATCTCTCTAACTGTGACTTTCAAAATGAATAAATTTTTAAATGCATGTAAAACAGGTATACACTGATTCCATCTGCATAAAAAACTGCCTCAAAAACTCTCACTTTTTAAGTAAGATAATGTGCTGCCATGTGTGTTAGGATGCTGATGGATGGGTATTGGCAGAAGCATGAGGGGCACAGGTTCAGCAATCGGTGGCAAGGCAGAGACAGGTGCCTTTTCATGCAATCACCACCTGACCACAGAGGATGCAGGGTGCATGTCAGGCTTCTCCCCATCATACTGAATGCTGGCCACATTTCTGTACACACACACACACACCACATACAGAAA